TTCAAGTTAGTAGCTATTAAAGACATAAAAAGATAGAAGTGTAAATGCTTTTCTGGATAAGCGCATTTTTAAAACATAGTCATTGTCCATGCCAGTGTCAATTGGATTATTTGTCACAGTTCCTCCAATCAGATCGGTGTCCTCCATTTTGTAGATTATTTACGACTTTTGAATCCACATAAGCACATCGGCAAAATCCGGTTTACTTTGAGCATGTGTTTTAAACAGTTCAATGCCTTTGTGAATTGTTTCCACTTGCGCCGCCCTTTAATTTCTTCATACAGCGGGAATCCAAATGAATTAATCCTGAGTCCAATAACCATCAAAGTCACTCCAATAGTGCTCCTTAATTATGCTTTCACCCTCCTTTAACAAAATACTTCACATTCATCCAGTTTGTGACAGTAGTTGTAGCATCTACTCGCAGCTCTTGGGAAAAAGGTTGGGAACCCCTGATCTAAGGGGTACGTTGATCCGAGTCGAGGGGGAAATTGAGCCATCTGGGGGGAAATAGACCATTTGACTTTTTCAAGTTTAAACCTGAGTTGTGTGATACAGGAATGTTGTTTCTGTCTGTAATTCACAGCCAGTTCACAGATTTCTCTGGAGTAAGTCAGGTCAGCAGTATTTTGATCTGGTCTGAAGCCCCGTCTCTCTCCGGTGTGAAGACCCTCTTTCCTCTGCTGTTCCTCTGTTCCTCCTGTTTTCACTTCCTGTCCTCCTTCCTGTTTATGTCTCTACGCAGCCTGTCAATGTTTCTGTATTTTGCCACTGCTCTGATGGATTCTCCAGCCTCTCCATCAGTGGCTCTCTCTCCACCTCCCTCACTCTTTCTCTTTCTTGGCGGGATGCTTTTCTACAATGTTTGAAAAATAAAAAACATATCAGTTATTTAAAAGTACATTGAAATAGCATTTCATACTACAGAGACTTTACTTATCTTTAGTGAGAAATAAGTATTTGATCCCCCTGCAGATTTTGTAAGTTTACCCACTTACAAATAAATTAACAGTATATCATTTTAATGGTAGGTTTATTTTAACAGTGAGAGTAAGAATATGAAAAAGAAAATGTAGAAATTGACATTATATAAAAGATATAAATTGATTTGCATTAACTGTGGGAAATAAGTATGTGATCCCCTTGCAACCAACAACAATTCTGGCGCCCACAGACCGGTTACATAAGTCCTCTTCTTTTGAAAACGTACTCCTAATATCAACTCGTTACCTGTATAAAAGACACCTGTCCACAGAATCAATCAATCAGATTCCAGCCTCTCCACCATGGGCAAGACTAAAGAGCTGTCTAAGGACCTCAGGGACAGGACTGTAGACCTCCACAAGGTTTGGATCGGCTAAGACCATCGGAAAGCAGCTTGGTGAGAAGGAGACAACTGTCGGTGCCATTATTTGGAAGAATAATGTGTGTGTTATAGAGATGTTAAGATTCACCGATTCGCATCGGTGCACCGGCATAAACGTTCAAGATGCGAGTGCACCGGTTGAAAGAGTGCACATCGGCTACAGTTTGGGTTGAAACGGGTTGAACTCGCGATGCATCGATTGCGTAGCGTCTTTGCATCGGTAAAAAACCGATTCATTCATATAAAATCCCCTCATCTTGTCAACGCTCAGCAGAGACGATCTTTGATTATTTGCTTCGCCCTTCCGCCACTAC